CAGTCGGTAATACTATAATCAATAGTGTTTGTAATTCGAGTACAGCAAATACGGCTTCTTTTTGTTTCTTTGATCGAAATGTGGACTCTTCTTGATTCAGCACTTTCTTCAAGTCTTCATAAATCTCGCTACCGGAGTAAACTGGAACCATATTGAGTAGCAGTACTCCTGTAGTCATGATTATATTAGTTCGTGGTCGACTTAGAAATCCTATATTCTTTAATTCTAATAATACAAACACAGCTACATTCGAACAAGATGGCGTGAGCAGTTCTATTTGAGAAACCTTGAATATTGGTAGGGTGAAAATCGCGGGCTGTGGCCAGCTTAATAGTGATCTCGATTTTTTGGAAATAAGACTAAATAGTGGTATCCCGTAAGATAACTTCTGCTAATATTTTATAAATAATCTTGGCCACTTGCTATCTAGCTCTAAAAGCTGGTGCCACTACGAACCAATAGCTCCGAAGATTCGAATGCTTTTGTCACTAAGATTTCGAATAATATCACCCCGGACTCCATATTGTTCAACAATATCCTTTCTGTGGGCGGTTACAAGATTAATAGCACTCATAATTATATTAGTATCCTCATGTGGTATATCTTCAGTTGTGGGTAGATCTCTCATGAACTCGGTATTAATATACTCATGGCCCATCTCAATGGCTATATTTCGATAATCTTGTGTGGTTAAGTGGACTCCTAGTCGAATTACAGTTTCCTGAGTTAAGACCTTAATCAGATGCTCGTGTATCCACGATTCATTTTTATTATGCTAGAGATGATTATTCCGGGGAAGTCCATTTGTCTTCTGGTCGAAAGTCTTTGAGAATGGCTGAACACAAACCAAATAAATTGATTAGATTTGTACTACGCACCATAGGAGAAATCGGGGAATCACTTTAGCCTTATCAAAAAGTACCTGGGATTTGTAATACTGCGTTACATATTTTATCCGGCTATTAATGATATAAATGTTCTGTTTCTGGAGCAAATCATTACAAAATCGAATAAGAGTAATTTCCTTTTCACAAGCTGGGGAACCACCACTCTGATATCCCAGAATAAGCATAAGCTCTTTTAATTGTTTCTGCAGTTGTCGATATTTGCAAACTTTTGTTATTCGCTATGTGTTGTTTTTCCGATCCCATAACTACTGCTCTTTAAAAGCTTTCAATATTTGCTCCATTATTCAGTCCAGTTTATCTTTTATTCCATTAGCCTCATTGGTGATCCATAAAGCTCCCCACTTTGCTAACGATAAATCATCTTGAATATTCTCTAAATCAATCTTAAAGCGGTTCTTCTTCTACCTCACCCACATCAAATCCTTTTATAAGATATCCTCAGCCTCCCAAATCATATTGTGAATAGAATCCTTAAATCACTTAATAAACACTGGCTTTCCATGAAATTCCAATAGATCACTATCTGGACAATTTGTCTCAAATCAAGTCTAAGTAATACTAAGCTGGTTAATCTTCTGCATACTCATGGTTTTATTATACCCCAGCATTTTGATTAAGAAACTATATGGGCTATAACTACCTACTATTAGATATTTCTTTTGCAATTCCAAAAACTGGTTGATGTCTTTAGTTGTCTGTTCTCCTCTAGTAGTGGATAGTAAAGTGTATTCTAGAAACAAAACCCGGACGCAATACATAAATCCTGCAAACATATACAAATACTCATCTCCATGCCTCAATTGGTTTTCGTCCTCTATAATCCCTAATACTATAGCAAAATGCATTATGGAACTATCAAATCGGTCACACCCTTTTAAGCTTTATAGAATTATGGATATAAAGAGTGCTCTCATCTTGTAGATCTGATTATCTTCATCTTCTTTAGTTTTCAGTAATTTGAGTATTTCTTTAAGCAGCTCTTTTTATTCCAAATTGAATTTGGTTAGTTTATAGTAATTCTTTATTATATCAATGGCAATCTTGTTAGAATCGACTATCTATTGGTTTTCCTCCCCCATTTCATTTTCACTTTCATTTGCAGAATTGTTTTGATTACTTACTAACACCTTTTCCCCACTTCCAGTTTCCTTTTTTTCTAAACTTTCCTCCATCACCCTCTCTTTCTGTGCTATGTATATGCATAATAAATAGTATGTAAATCGCCAAAGATAAGCAATATACCAATCTAAATTATCTTTATTCTATAAATGTATTATGGGATAGTTCTTTACTTTCTCAATCAAATTGACTATTTGCAGTCAATATAGAGTATTGTTATAAAAGCTGCTTAGCCCATCCACTACTCTTTCAATCATAATATTTACAATCTCACTGACACATTATAGCTACTTATCTTTTCAGTCCAATAACCTACTTATATGAGTAATACATCTAATATTACGGTTTTCAAAATATGGTTACCACTAAATAAAGCTCCACCAACCAGTATTATCGCTCTTTTCTGTTTTATCATTAATAATCTCATATCTTTTTTGATCTTGATCATTAAGATCTTTGAATTCGCGTAACAATTGATCTCAAACTGCTCTGTTTTCATCTTCTGCTAGTGGTTCTAGTTCTTCAAGATTTACCTCGATAACTATAATGAAATATCTCTAATATATATAACTAAAAAATGTCTGTACCTTAACTTCTGTCCAATACTTTGGGTCAATCTTTGAAAACTGTTAGCTATAATCTTTGTAATATTTTTGCATTCTATTCTTTAATAATATAATATGAATACAATCGTCACAAAGTAGCACATCTACAGGCTAACCAAGAACTAGAAATGGAAAACTATCTGGTTTGGGTACTCTAACATTTTTGGGGTGCCAAAGAGAAAATAAGCTATACTTTTCAAGTAATGGGGTATGTCTTTTTTTTTCTAAACCATATCTATTCTAAAGATGAGTCTCAAGTCCTCGAATTACTATTTGATACAGAGTATAGACTAAAATCTCATATTCAGCAATATATTCAAACGTATCGTCATCTTCATTATTATGGTGCTCATCCTGCTTAACCCATTGAATGGTCATTTATTAAGCAACCCTAAGTTAGCTGATTTACCCTAAGCAATCCTAAACTTTTTCAAACTTACTCATAATATAGATTTCAATTGTTTAACACCAATTTTTATTAAATGTTAATACTATATATTAGTTTTAAAGTAAGAGTAATAATCAATTTAAAATTATGTTATATTTTATACCGTTGATTCAACTCCTGATTCAATTGTATTGCCTAACCTCTTTCGCTTATTCTAGTTCTATTTCGGCATTGATTCAAATTGAATCGGCCTCCGCCTTATGTAAAGGGGGCTTTTAATTAATTATATACACAGATTATTAAATAATCTAAATAATTAAAAGAATATTAAGGATTTCTAATTCTAATCCTAAGTCTATTATAATACTAACCATATCGTTAGGGCTTACCCATGTAAGTTACCTGCCCGTCAGGTTAAAGCCTATAGAGATTATAATATATATATTATTATATTATTAAAAATAAAATGATTATTTATAAAACTATAACTTTATATTATATTATTATATTACATTTGAATTTTTCTTTTTAATTTAATAAATATTATAATAATATTTTAAAATTAATTTTATAATCTAATTTTTTGATTTTTTTATTAATCTTATTTTTAATTTATTCTTTTCTATTATATATATAATTTTTAAAATAATATTATTAAAAAGATTATTTAGATATTTATTAGAAATTCATTAAAAGCTAGCTTAGTATTAATAATAATGTCTGTGTGTTCTGAGATTTCTCAACTCCACTTTTAATAAATTTATAAAATTAATAAAATTCATAATATTGATAAAATTAATAATATTAATAAAATTAATAAAATTTATTAGAAATTCATTGAAACCTAATTTAGGATTGAAAACAATATCTATACGTTCTGAGATTTCTCAACTCCACTTTTAATAAATTTAAAAAAAAATACGATTTTTGTATAGGGTTTTATCTAGGTATTACTAACCAAATATTGCCAAGCTTTTTTTTGTATAATATTTAGAGAGTAAATGTTATACAAATATTGTCGAGAAGTATATTAGAAATTCATTAAATCTTAATTTAGGATTAAAAATAATATTTATACATTTTGAGATTTCTCAATTCCACTTTTAATAAATTTAAAAAAAATATGATTTTTGTAGGAAATATCATCTAGATATTACCAACTAGATATTGTTAAGCTTTTTTTTGTATAACACTTATTTTCTAGGTATTATACAAACATTGTCGAGAAGTATATTAGAAGTTTTGAAGAAGTTAATGGTTTTAAAGGAGGGTTCCAAATAGATGGCTTAGAAGGCTTAGCTATGAGCCTCGTGGTATGATTTAAGAATTCAATCAGTTCGATTCGTAGAAATGATGATGATGATGATGACAGAAGTGAACATCAGCTCCCACAAGAGTTTTGCCTGTAGCTGGTGCCGGAAGCCTGCATCATGCATTACCACGTGACACGCAAAACATATTCTTTTGCTTTGGAATCAAGCACTAGCAAGCCAGAAAATAACAAATCAGTGACCATTTCTAGATACTCCCGTGATCTTACTAGCTTGCGCAAAAATTTTTACCCACCTGACAAACTGCTGTATTGATTTTAGTATGGCAGTTCACTAGAGATTTATTATATGAGAAAATAAGTCAGGCAGTACTGTGGTAGGTAGGTAATTATGGTCGGTCGAGGTATTCTTGTATGCTAGCTTGTGTGGGTCAAGTGCAGGATTCGCTATAAATATGTCCTGTTCTAATAAAGCTTAAAAAATGTCACGAACTTATCGATAAGATAGAGTCACGGAGTGGGGGCATTTTGCAGTTAGACTAGCCAGGTAGTCAAAGCACCACGTGTTTTCTAGTTACTAAGCGTTCCAGATAAATACTCTTGAAACTTTTATTACACAACTTTTTTACTTCACACTACACTACATATCATGTTATCAAAACCAACTCAAGTCAAATAAATTGTTGAGTTTTGAAATCCAATCTAGTATCATGCTTTCTCAAAGGGGTCGGATCAATGCCCAGTCTTCGATTCTGGATGGCTACAAACGTGGAAAGAACAATTACCAAAAAGATTCCAACCCCAATGGTGTGGTTAGCTTTTCTAATGCTGAGAACGTTAGTTATCACATAGCCTTCAAATAACTTTCAATTGACATTTCTTTTAGTTTCTTATGCATCAATATGTCTCTACTTTCGTGAACAAAGGTGTAAGTTATTACTCGAAATTTACTTTGTGATTAATAATTAATGTTCCTTATGGTAGCTGTCAATAGATCAAGCCAGCCTAACGTACAATGAGGGGCCAATTGGTAACCTAAGATTGCGAATTGCAATGGCTACTCACATAAATGCTACTTTCCACCCCGATAAAGACGTCACAGAAGAGCATGTGACTTTTGCCGCTGGGGTCACAGCATTGAATGAAGCATGCGCTATCAATCTGGTCAATGAAGGAGAGGCACTATTGCTAGGGATGCCCATCTATGGGTCCTTCTACAATGACCTTACAATGACAACAAAGTTAGTTTAACCACTTCTTGTCTTCAAAAATCTCTATTAATTTTTATTTATCAATAGATGCAAGATCGTCTATGCCCCCTTCCGAGGTACTGACCAATTTTCAATTGGTGCTGCGACACAGTACGAGCATGCATTACTTGATGCTGCTAATAAAGGCATAAAGATCAAAGCGCTAATAATTTGCAACCCACATAATCCACTTGGTAACCGAAAAACATTTTCTATATCTGATACAAGATTTCTTATACTAACCATTGGCAGGTTCATGTTATACTATCGCCTGCCTGAAAGAGCTCTTCGTCTTCTGTGAGAAGTACCAGCTTCATCTTATTAGTGATGAAGTCTATGCTCTCTCTGTTTTTGGGGCTAGTGGCACGCAGTTTACTTCTTTATTATCTGTTGACCCTACTGGGTTGCTTGATAGTGATAGGATTCACGTTCTCTACGGGCTTTCTAAGGTTTGTAATCCTCCTTAATTGAATTAGAGCTCTATTAAATAAATCAAGGACTTTGGAGCTGCGGGTTTACGTCTTGGGTGTCTTATAACTTACAATACACAATTATCGAACGCGACGCGCAATATAGGGTACGGTCAAAACCAAAGCCTTACAAGAAAGTTCTTAGCTAATATACATCAAAATTTAGTCGTTTCCACTGGCCTTCAGAGATTTCGTGTGTAATTGCGATCAAAATTCTTGAGGACAGGTGTTTTACTACAGAATATGTATCTAAAAGTCATATATTACTCAATGAGCAGTACATTTTAGCCACCCAAATCCTGAAACGAGCTGGAATATCTTACTACGATACAGGGTAATCAGTTTCCTATCTTTTTTTTAGCTGTTTTAATTTTTTAATAATATATAGGAATTCTGGGTTCTTTTTATGGATAGATCTATCTCCATTCTTAGAAAATCAAGACATGGATAATAAGGGCTTATGGGAAGCAGAAAAGATGCTGTCAAGCAAGCTTCTGAAGGCAGGTGTTGAAATGTCAACTGGGTTTGCATATCACAATGAGAAACCAGGCTGGTTTCGCATCATATTTTCAGTTGAGAGGGAAGTTCTTGAGGAAGGATTGCGAAGGTAAGTAATAATTCATCTGATAATATCACACTTCTAACAATGTGCGCATAGGATTATAAAGACCGTGAAATGAACGAATATTGTTATGGATAGGAAGTGCAGGAGGATGCTGTCATCTCGTAACTAGGACAGAGGAATAATTATCCGATATAGCCAATAGTATACGAGCTTCCCAGAACTTCTTAGCTAGATCATCATTAATCCTACTACTTCACTCTGTCACTCTCATCTCAGTTCATGGAAAAATTCAAGGGGGAAATTGGCAGTAAACAGTTCATTCTTGGGAAGTGGTGAGTGGCTCTTCGCGAGCCACTGAGAGAACTGCCAGCGATGAGCTGTTGGCAATTATGTAGAAGTGATGGGTATGTAAAATTTGAAGCTTGGAGCAAGGCCTGTGAGGAATCTACGACTGAGTACTAACTTGAGAGTAGATGGAACTAGTAATACGGCCTACGAAAGCGCTAGACGACCATCTTCTAAGACGCTGGATTTCTTCATGTGAGATCCCATTGAGGTGAGCTTGCAGCTTAGCCTTCTTTTTGTCAACCTCATTATTTGCTTTGCGAATACCAGCTAGTACCCTTCGGAAAAACTTGCTGTCGAAGACTTTTGTCGGGAGACGACGATCAAGGTGATATGATCTGAGTTGGGAAAGTTGTTATTTGAGAGTGTCTGCCTTGCAACGGCCCGTCCCAGAACTTCTGATATACAGAGATAAGGAATATCATGTTGCTAATCATAGCTTTATAGGATTTTCCGCCGTCCTGCGAAAGAATTCGTAAGATTTCTTTGTTGAGCTGTAAAACTTCCTTGATGAAGCTCCTAATGAGTTCCACAATAACCGAGCTATTGATAGAGACATCAACCCTACGGCACCCTGGCCCAACTAGTCGGGATCGGGCTCGCTATTGAAGTAAATACCTAGAGTGTCTGGCACAAATTAGTAACTTCTAACCACTTAAAGCGTGACAGCGCGTCCGCGAGCTTACTATCAGTTCCCGGGATCTATGTGCCATAATCTCAATATCAAGTGTAGCTGCCAAAAGTAGAGTTTCTCGCAAATAACTATTCGCCGGGCTTGCAAGAGACTGTTTAGAGAAACCGTGGAAGATAATAGCTGCGAGTAGTTCTTCGATTTTCGTGTAGCATAAATAACCAGATTCTTTAGCAATGTGATCATTAGCAGAAACCTTGTCTGGGGAGGAGAGATCATGAGTTCGCCTATAGGGGTGAAGCTGTTTGTCCCCTTCTCTACCAATCCCAATGGTGAAGCACAGTATGGATAGGCAGGGTTTGTTTCCGATATCCTTCTTCGTGTAAGACAGTCTACCACTATGCCATTGATGACGGTTTCATCCAGAGACGCTGAGTTGTGATTATGACAAGTGGGTGTGAAAATCTATAATAAGCCTGTTAAATCACTTATTAATACCTTACTAATTAAGAGATATCTTGATGACTAATATATTTGTAATATGATTCTATATTATAAAATTATATTATCATATAGTTATATATTAATATCTCTTATCAAATTGATTTAGAATGGAATGGAATCAAATGGAAGTATATAGAAGATTATTATTAAATTGATTAAACTTGATTGGTTGTACTTTCTTTTTATTATATAAAATAATTCTATAAGATTCGATTTAAATCGATCTTATTTATAAGTATTAAAGCCTTAGGATTTCATTATAAACTATATAAACCTAGGATATTCTTTAAAGAAAACCTAGTAGGAATAAGCAAATTAAATTCAATTCAATCCATTCCTATAATTTGACTTCAATTCTACTATTATATTATATATTCGATTTATCCCTAAGCTAAATCTGACTAAGTCTTCCACTAAATATTATAATAATATTATTTTATTATAATATAAGATCCTACCTCCAAAAGTGAACAAGAAGGGTTCTCCTTCGAATCTAATGAGCACACCATATCGTAGAATTGAATCTACAAGGATCCTGGGTATGGGCGAAATAAAGCAAACCACGCAGAAACCACGAAAAGTGAAGGTGAACATAACATGTGAGGTTGCTTGCAGTTATGGAGGGGGGAAAAAAGATTGAATTTGGTCCCGCAGCGGCAAGTGTGCATGGAAGAAGTTCCAGAAAATGGGAATACTATCAGTATGAGACACTCCATACATCTGAGTATCGACCTTTATCTAATGATCCGAACTAGCACAGTCCCTGCCGTTTTCCTATTGCTTGTTCCCCGAGTGCATATTGGTCGGCCATGAGATTCATCTCCAATACCCAAAAGAGCTTCCTACAGAACCTGGATTTAATGATGACGATTGGGATCAATTGCGAAAGATTCATCACTTTCTAGGTGCTTTAAAAGATGCAACAGAGTTTACTGAAGGTGATGCTGCAACTTTGGAAAGAGTATTGCCTACTATGGAGTTTCTACTACAGCATTTTGAAGATGGAAAGGTATGTGTCTCACATTCCTTATTCTACAGCTCTTTATTTGTGCATCCTTTGTTCTACAACTCTTTATTCATTTAACCTATGCAGATGACCCATTTCTAGGTCCATGTATTAATAATGGGTGGGCAAGACTCGAAAAGTACTATGCTCTCATAGATCGCACCCCCTTTTGTGTTGCAGCTGTTGTTTTAGATCCTTCTTACAAATGGTCACATTTCGAAGAATCCTGTGAGGATACTCATTCTACATGGATTCCGAGGTGGAAACGTCAAATCGAGCTTCTTTGGGAGGAGCAATATAAAGTCGATGTAGAAAATTCAAGTCAATTAACTGAAGAGTTCTCCACAAACTCTCTTATTTCGCATATGCAAGCTAAAAAGGCTTCCTGCACTACAATGGACGAATATACAAAATATCGTGCTACAACACCTCTCGAAACTATTCAAGATCCTCGCACATGGTGGTTAGATTCTACACAACAAATCACCTACCCTACTTTGAGCAAAATGTCCTTAGATTTGCTTGGTTGCCCACGTACAGCTGCATTGGTAGAACACTTGTTTTCTTCCGCAAGAATCACTGTCACTGCACGCAGGAATAAGGTTCATATTGCTGTTGTCAATCGCATCGAATGCTTGGAATCATGGTTTGATCTAGAGTCATGGATGGAAGGGAAGGTAGAATTTGAGAATTTGAGCTGCTAATACTTTATCTTTACTATTTTGGGTAGTGTTTTTAATGTAGTTTAGCTTTATTTAGAATAGCTTAGGTTTTAGGTGCGTTCTTAACATTTTTATATTTCAATATTCCAGTATATCTTCAAAGACATCGTGTTTGGTTGATATCCACGGGAGTGATAAGCCTCAGTGCTCATACGCACTGGCTAACGTATTGTAAGCTCAATACGCGCCACTGTTTTACGGTAGTATACTAATCGCTACACTGGGGAGAGCTACGGCCTGGAGAACTATAACCTCCCGATTTGGTGTGGCCCATATAGTACTGCAGGATCAGGCGCTCTGAGATCAAGTATGTGGTGTGGTCATAAAGTGTCTTTATGAAGCCACGGTGTTTTTGGAATTCTAAGGCGAGCTTCAACACAGTAGTCTACTTGTATGACTTCGCCAAGTCAAGTATGTCCGTATGAAAGATGATATGGGCCCTATTCAAGAAGGGGTATTTGGATCCATGGAAAGCTTGTTCGATAGATGCGTACTTAAGGAAACCTTCTGACCAAGTGCTTCGGTTGCTGCTATAATCGGACAGCTTACCCTTAACCTTTGTAGAAACCATTGGGTTTCCATCATTATCGAAGGAGAGCTTGGTCTTGTCTGCCTCGTCAAAGCTCGAGGTGAAGGTTAGGCGACTGATGTTGTCAGGTTAAGACTTCTTTAAGAAGATCTGTTTGAGATGATTGGGATGGATACCGAAGAACTGAGCGAGGGAGGTTTGAACAGCAGCTGGGAGCTTACTGAGATCGTCATCTTCTTCGGCTTCGACGGTAGGAGGAGCGGGTCCTGTCATGGGGGCAGTATTCTGAGCAGGTTGCGGATCTCATAGACGTGCAAGCTGAGCTTGGTGAAGCCTGTCATCTCTTTTCTTCTCGAGCTCGAATTCTTCGGCGGCTCGTTGCAAAAGGGGCTTCAGTCTTTCGTCTCAGCAGCTCAGCCTTGAGCTTGACACCTTCCACCTGAGCAACCGCAACGTTTTCGGGGACGTCTAGACCATAGTCGGTGAAAGCATCTCTGGCGGAAGAGGTGATTCCAGCTGGAGGGCCTCTAGGCGTTGACATGATGTAGTGGAAGGAAGGGAGAAGTGGGAAGGGAGGGGCAGAAAGGAGTCCGTTTGATTAGTGGAGAAGGGTATCGTCGAATATTGATTGGGCTACGAGGGCGGTGAGAGAGAGTAGGTAATCGTAGAGATGTAACAAATGTAAATGATGGACGATATCTTCAAATTCGAATTCCCCGAATGAGCTAAGGAAAAGAACGATGAAGGATAAAGAATGGAGAGATGCCTTTTCCAGCTAATAAGTACTGTGATCGCTTCTCTATTTGTATCAAATTGTATTATGCAATTCTATGTGAAATATGCAAAATCTATTCCTTTTTGCCATCACTTTACACTTTACCGTGACAAGCATAATTAGTGCTCATCTGCTAAATTGGCTCCCTACTTTCTGAATACTAAGACATATACATAGGTATAGTATGAAATTCTATAATAAGTATACTAAATCACTTATTAATATCTTATCAATATCTTGATAATTAAGAGATATCTCGATGAATAATATAATATAATTCTATAGTTGTTATAAAATTATATTAACTATTATATGATAATATAACGATAATATGGTTTATCAGTGTGTAGCCTATATTAGTAGGTAGCCTATTTTCACCTTAATTTAATTTTCTTATTTCAATATGCATTTCATTAATAACCTATAATAGATTCGAATAATAAAGAAGCCTGTATATTACTCGTTATTGCAATTATTCAGAAAGATAAGAAGCTAAATATTCAAAAGACTATAATACTATATAATATTCTATAATTAATATTACAATATAAAATTGATAATATGTTTTCTTATATAGAAATTCAATTTAAATCTTAAAATCTCTTAAAACTAAAAAAGGAAATTATTATTTAATATATAATTGATATAAATTCAAGAGGTTTTATATCTTAAATAAAAAGGAGTAGAAAATATAGTGAATTATATTCTTGAATTTTGAAGTACAAAAAGAGTTAGAAAGCTTTAGGCTCATTAATTTATTAAATATTATATAAAACTAAAAATATATTTTAAATATATTTATGATTTTCAAAAAACTTTTTATAAAGATTTTATACTTATTAAAAACTGATTTCAATTTATATTAAATATACAAACGAAATATAGTATTCTCAATTATAATTTATAGAATTTCAATAAAATTGATTTTATAATAAGTATTATAAGTATTAATATAATTATTATTAATATTAAGAAATATAATAGAAATAAAGTTATATAATCAGATAATCGAGAATAAGTGATAATAATTATATATAATAATAATAAAAAAAACATTATATCTTTATTTCTAATAATTTAAAGATAAATATATTTTTTTAATTAATATATAAAAACTAATCTTTCTATAGATTAAACTATTAAACTTATAAGTAATAAATAAATGAATAATAGAATAATGTGACGGCAACGGAGTCAAGTCATAGTAATAGAATGAATCAATTATTGTAACTAGAGAATAACAAACTACTATACAAAAAGTGAGCCTGAAGAGGGCTTTTATAGATCCTATCGGATAGGGCCAGGATAGGACCAAGATAGGACCAAGATTAGGCGAAGTGATTTGCCCTGCCTGGTGGGGTAAATGGGTGACTAATCAAGGCTTAAGGCCGAATCGTCACAAATAAGATTAAAATAATTGAAATATTTCAATAAATATATAAGAAATCAAATTAAAAGTAAATATAAAATACTAATACTAAATAAATATAAGAACTATAAATTAATATTATTCTAGAATTATTATAAAAGAATAATATTAAATATATATGTTTATTATTATATTCAAATTATTTAACTTAGTTTTTTAATATTAAATATTTTAATATCTTAAAATAAAAGTATAATATATAAATTGAAGAATTTATAAGAGTATATATTAATTATATCTTAAAGATCGAATCCTTTATAATTTTCAAAATTATATATTAATAATCAATTCTAAATCAAAATATAAAATCAGGATTTTAAGGAGTAGAATTAGTTTTATTCAATTTTGAAGTAATACTTTCTAAATTAAATATTCGAATTTATATATCTATTTCTTTTTCTTTCAATTCAGAATTCTAGATTTTTTAAATATTTTAAAATTCTATAAAAACACTTTTTCAATCAATATTAATTAAATCTTGAATAATTTGTTATTAATTAAGTTTTTTTATATCTTTATTTGAAATTATATTAGTTTTAACTAAAAATATAAAAAGATTAATATATAAGAATATACTTTTGAATATAAAAATTCATATATTTTGAAAAGCAAATAAAATATTAAATAAATATTGATATATAAAAAAAATCTAATTATATTAAAAAGAAATATTTATTAAATAGAAAGCTATAAATATATTATTTTAATAAAAGATTAATATTTAAATTCGATATAATAAGTATCAAAATAAAGGAAATTCTAATATAAAGATATTCTTTAATCAATATTATAATAAATATAAAAGATAGATTATAATATAAGAACCTATAAAAATGATATAATAGATTCTAGATTATTAGATTTATAATAATTTTAATTAATTGATTTAATGATTATTAAGAAATATAAATTTGAAAGTATAAATTAAGATGAAAGTGAGCTATTTATTAATATGAGCTACGCACTAATAAACCACGTTATATATAATTATATGATAATATAATTTTATAATATAAAATCATATTACAAATATATTAATCATCAAGATATCTCTTAATTAGTAAGATATTAATAAGTGATTTAACAGGCTTATTATGGATTTTCACAGTATGCCTATACTTTATTATAATGCCATATGATTGACTATACTAATAAGTAGTATCTTAAGTAGAATCGCAAAAAACTTAAGGATTTAGTTATTCCCTTTTCCTTTCCTATAGACAGCGATCAAGAGCAGCTTTTATTGTACATAGAAAGACATTGTCTTACTTTGGTAAGGGTCAAAATAAAGGATTAGAATGTATATATATATGAACAAGATTCAAAGACTGAACATCTCCCTCTAGTTCTCGATAAAGAACAACTTTTGATTGATTAGAAAAGCACTGCTTTCTATCAATTTTTTAATACCCGCCAGAATGCGTTTCAAATTCGTTCCTGTCATTGCTATGATTTCTGGCGTTGTTGCGGATCTCGATAGTATCAACTCCTCCATCACCGACATGCAAACGGCAGCGTCCCAACTTGCTGCAATTATCAACGATGTAAGTCACCTTAAGCCATTTTTGAAAGAAATCTACTCTTTGGTATTCTAACTAATATTTCCTTCTTCATAGCCTGCACGTATTCAAAATAACACCCTATTTGTGGTGAACTATTCAAAGAACCTCCGTGAAAGCATCGACAAAGCCTATGATGTTGTAGCACAAGACTCAACAACCTTGAGTGAATCCGATGGTGTTACCCTCACAGACTCTATGGAAGCACTCACAATCGGCGTCGAGGAAGTAGCGCTCGTGTACACCATCGCTCTATACGAAGCGCAGTATGTGGACAGGAGCCAAGCGGCTTCTGGGGAATTCTCACAGCTGCGCGTTTCCACAGGGAAGTTTTGCGACACTCTTATTGGAAAATTGCCAGCAGATCTCGTGCCTGAAATTCAGGTGTTTGAATATAGTATAGATACAGCTTTGAGAGAAGCAGAATCTTATTTTAAAATAAAATAAGATAATTTTTACGTCATGTCTTCGGTAGTCACGTGGGAGTGTGCCGGCGGGTCAACTTAGAACACGATTGTTATTAATTCGGGTAGAATCAATTCTAATTATTGAACAAGTTATTATACTTTATAGAATCTAAACTTACTTGATTATTTACTTAATATTCAATCCTTATTTCCTTTCTAAAATTCTACTATGTTTTAAAAATAAATACTAATTATCGAAATGTACAGTTACATACAGACATTCTTGTATATAAAAACAAACAGCGATGATGATATTAGCGATTCGATGATAAATCATATTAGGTATGTAAGATTCAAGAATTGCTAAACTGATCTGAGATTCGATTTTTGTAACTTGATTAATCCAAATCATTTATGATTTCTGTATTAATTCTAAACAAAACCTATATTCGAGTATGTACTTAAAGCGACGTGAATGTTAAGTTGGTCGAAAATAGGGGATGGTCGGGAGGTAGGGTCGTCAACTTAATGCTCGTTACCAGCCTCAGTACATGTGAGCTTGAAGCTCGGAGATAATCGGCCTTCAGCGATTAACGCCACGACTAACACAAATAACAATTATCTGGTCATGATGACCTTTCACGACAGTTGAAAAGTCACATTAGACCTATCGGTACGCTTGAAAACTTGAAGGCAGCAAAATTAGTATGGATAGCCAAATACCAAGTTCGACTAGCAAGACGAGTGACGGACAAAAGGTGCAGAGAAAACGCTTAAGACTAAGTTGTGGGGAATGCAGGAAAAAGAAAGTAAGTTCATACAGTACCACTCTCAGTCTCATTATGGTGAAATATGTTACTAATTGGCTTTCGAGAAATAGCTTTCATGTGATCGTAGATTACCTTGCCAAAGATGTGTAAGGTCCGGGCGATCGGAACAATGCTTATTCGAAACAGGACAGCCCTTTATAGCGATGCATAAGCAGCAGCAAGCTCAATTGCAAATTGATAGCGAAGAAGTTCAAAAACTCCGGTCCGAGGTGACGCAATTGAGAGTACTGCTGTCTAAGATTCATTCCCAAAATGAAGCCACTATTGTGGCAGAGCCTGTGACTGCTACTGGTGTCTCTGAAATAAGCTGCGGGCCGCTGTCAGACAAACGTTGCGAGGAGACTTATGGATCCATTATAACGACGGATAATAACCTTATTCATCCAAACGCAAGAACTCCTTCTAGCTACTACACCCAACACCATCTTTTCCGTTTCTTTGAAGAGGTGAAATTCCGTGTATTCTAAAATTTTCACAAAATTTGCTTATATCACAAAACAGATCCCTGAACTCTTTCCGTTCATGAAAGAAACGCGTGAAGAATTGTTGGAACCTCATGGGGTTCGCATTAAAAAGGACACAGCGGCTCGGAATGATTTGCGAGCTCATGTTCATTGTACGACAGAGTGCCAGTTGGAGGATTTTCTTCCGGCAAAGGACGTAACAGATTTTTTAGTACTTTCTTACCTTGAAAGTTTTGAGCAACTGCATCGTATCGTTCATATTCCTACTTTTAACAAAGAATATGCCAAGTTTTGGGTACCTGATTCTACTCGTCATTCTGCCATGACGGCACTAATTCTCTCTATGATATCAATCTCAATATGCATTCCCGCCACCTACAACAGTCTTACACCTTCTCATCACCAAATAGCTCCGAGGCAGTGGATCTCCGCGTGTGACAGATGGTTAAGAGAGCAAAGTTCAAATGGCCGTAAGCTTGTGCACTATCAAATCGGCTGTTTGTTGTATCTCGCAAAACGAATGCACATGATTAGGAAGAAAGAGTGGTTCAAGGAAACGAGTTCTTTGCTTCAAAATGCAATTATGGATGGACTACACCGAGACCCGACTTCAAGTGGCGATACAATCTTTACGCGAGAGATGAAAAGACGAATTTGGGCTGTTATTCGCGAACTCGACTTGCAAAACTCGTTTGAGACTGGAATACCAACTCTCCTGAACACAATTGATGCTAAAACTGGTACCCCTGGAGACATTGATGATGACGAGTTTGACGAGACCTCGAAAATACTTCTAATCTCAGATCCATTCGACAAACATACCCGAACATCTTATCAAATTCATAGCTCTCAGAGTTGGGGTTTACGTTTAGACGTATCTCGTCGACTTTTTGCGACAGGATCACCAAAAGTATTGAGCTACGATGAAGTCTTACATTTAACCCATCAATTGACCCAGGAAATTCACTCCCTCCCAGCTTGGGATGAAGTCAATTCAGGGGCAACAAGCCATGCCTGTTATCCTATCCCCGCTAATGCATTCCTACATTTCCAGCTTATTGAATGTATTTTAGCTATCCATCGACCCTATCTCAAGAGAGAAAATCACAAGTTTTGGCTTTCTGAAAATATTTGTTACCAGATGTCGCGAGATATACTTTTACTCAATTTAAAACTGATAAACACGGGAAATCAGACTGTAATAATGCTCCGAGAAGATCTTTTGTTGGCTTCATTAACACTCACTCGTGTCATTTTGCTACAGCACAAAGGTCAGCTTACTCGTATTTCCCATGTTGTGATTTAGTATCTTGAAAACAAAGTGCTGATTTTTCGTTTCAAAACTCTCCCTTCATCGGAATTTGTACCATACTAATGAGATGATACAGGCTCAAGCAGTATTATCATGAGCGATTCCACTGCTATCATTAATTTCCTCAAGCGATGCCTTCCTACTATGGGCAACAGATATCTGTATGGATTCGATAAAGAGCCTTGGTGTTTTCTGACTATGTCTACGGCTATTTCATTACTCAACATACATGCAGGGAAAGTTAGTCCAGAGACCGGCAAGCTCGATATTTCACAGAGTTTTTCGGATCTACATCACAAGCGTATCGAGAACCAACGTCATATATCCATTTCTATCCAGCAGGATTCCAGTCCACGAATATCTGCAGAGCACATTAATTCCAGTGGACAATCTGCTGCGTATAAAGCCACAGAATTTCCGGCTTTCTCGTGGTTGAACGATTCTGATGTTAGTATGAGGTCTATATTTCTGTTGAACGTTGATTGACTTAATAGCAGTTTGAAAATGATGGTTTTGATCTCGGAATGGACCTAGATAGCATGTGGCAGTTTTAGTAATGTATTGGTTCGTGAATATGATATAACTAGCAGCCAATTGAGAACAAATCAGACTACAAAGAACATGCATGAGCTCGAGACAGACCGAACTAAGTGTGTGTGTGTCTTCAACGCGAAGTTTTGTCGTTGTATTCGTGCTTCAAGACTTCTACTTGGCATTTTCAACTTAACCCCGAGCACGCGAGATACCTCACAAATTGTTATGGTATTCAACATGTTCAGCTTAGCCAAACCACTTGAAATGTACGAAAAGTCAAGCGCTAATCCCAAAAAGACAAATCGTAGCTGCAATTACCGTAACTTGGAGATAGCACCGATTATCACCGAAGACAATGCCCCACATTCAAGAGTATAAGCTCGGATATGATCGGTCTTCCGAGCCTGTAGTTGAACTACTCATACTATGAGAGCAACTTGTCACGGGAATAATATAGTATGGTACCATCAAAAAGTATATCTTTTTACTATATATATGGCCATATCCTTCAATATTCCGGTAGCTTTTACAACTCAAATATAAATATTCTTCGAAGTTTCAATTAAAGATCCAAACAAACCATCCACAATGTCTTCCTTGCCATCTCAACATCGTGCCCTAGTGCTCGAATCAGTAGGCTCAGACTTCCTCATCAAATCGTTGCCAACTCCTCTCCCGACGCCTGGCAGCGCCGTTGTTCAAATTTACTGTACCGGTGTTCTCTCGTACCATCGCGAAGTATACAATGGCTCACGCCCATATCCATTTCCTCTTCCTATCGTCGGAGGCTTCAGCGCTATTGCTCGTATCATCGCACTTGGGCCTGATGCTGTTTCTCTCAACGAAGGTCAATTAGTTTATGTCGATTGTGTTGTGCGTGGACGTGATGACCCTACCACTATTTTTTTGAGTGCTATTCACGACGGATTTAGTGAGGGCAGTAGGAGTTTGATGAGAGATGTTTGGAGGAATGGTACATTCGCGGAATTCGCGAGGGTACCTTTGGAAAATTGCATTGCGCTTAACGAGTCCAGACTCTGTGGAGAACTGGGATACTCGTTGCAGGACTTGATTTATCTTTGTTATCTTCTTGTTCCATATGGCGGATTGAGAGATATCAAATTGGAACCAGGTGAGACGATTGTGGTGTGTCCGGCAACAGGCGGATTTGGTGGTGCTGGTGTGCAAGTTGCGGTGGCGATGGGAGCTAGGGTCATTGCTATGGGGCGGAATGGAGAGGAATTGAAGAGGTTGAAGCAACATATCAAAAGAGGGACTCCAGGTGCAACCATTGAAACTGTCAACATGACAGGTAATGTGGAGACGGATACCGCGGCTCTACATAAATTTGGCACAGTTGATGCTGTATTAGATATTTCTCCACCTGCAGCAGCTCAATCAACACATTTGGAAAGCGCAATTAATTCACTTCGAAAAGGCGGGAGAGCTAGTCTTATGGGTTCTGGAGAGTACCACATTAACGACTGGAAAGTCATGGGGGATAACATCACGTTGAAGGGAAAACTGATGTATGAAAGAGATGACATGGTACAGTTTGTGAAAATGTTGGAGAGTGGGTTACTTCCTAGAGGAAAGGAATTTGTAGATGTGAAATCATTTAGTTTGGAGGGGTGGAAAGAAGCTTTTGATACAGCAGCAGAGTTTACTGGTGTTGGCAGACTTGTTGTGATGAAACCATAAGTTCATCTATTCAGTTGTATAAATTATAACTACTTAGTCAAGGTTTTTTTCTCTTAATATAGATTGTTATTCCTAAGTACGAAGCAAAACAGGTTAACAGCCAAGCCTCCCTTTACTCGTTATCATATAGTTATATCATAATTAACACTGATAGAACTCTTGAAGGTAGGCTTTTATATTGTACTATTAGTTAAATGAATATGAAATATGGGCTTAAGGTTAGAAAATAAAATTGAGAGTTTTATAGCGTATCCAATGTGTCTTGATTTAACAGATTCAATAATATTATTTTTGTTATTATAAAAGTGTTATGAAAACTAATTATTAGTCCTAGGATATTCTTAGTGATCACTACTAGTAGTGACTCATTTCGATAGGGGGCGATAATCTAGTCAAAAAGTTATTATTTGATTACTACTCTTTTATACTTTAATTTTGAGCTTCTTAGAGATTTATAGAAGAAATAAATAGAAATTATTTATAAATTAAGTGATTTACAGTATTAATCCTAAATACCGAATTTCAATAATATACATCGAAAATCGTTGAAAAAAAAGCAACTAGATAAAAATTCTTTATAATAATGAAAATGTTTATTCGAGTTTATTATAACAATCAAATTGATAATTATATATATCTAATATTACATTATAACTAAATAATTATAAAGAATTAAGAAATCTCATCAAACTTATATTTTTTAATAAATAATAATTACAAACTCTATTTTTACCTTTTGAAATAACTTTGAAAATCCTTTTATTATAATATTATACAATTATAACTCTTCATATATTATAATATTAATAAAAGAGAGGTTCAAAAGTAATTATAATATAATATCATTTTTTTAATCAAATTTACCTCGAATCTTTTTTTTTTCAAATAACAAAGCTTAATAGGATTCTAAATAAATCAATTAATTATTCTATAAAGTATAATATTTATAATTTTATTATTTATAATAATAAATAAAATAATAATAGATTCAATCTCAACTAATATTATTTTCTAAAAACTTAAATTATCGTTGTTAAATATTAATATTATAGAATCTTTAATAATTATTTTTCGTTTTATAAACTAATAAATTTTGTTTAATATAATAATATAATAATTAATTTGTATTCTTTATATAATAACTAGGAATAGAGCAAGAAGAAACTATTCTAGGACTATATAATATCGGACTGTAACTGCTAGTGTTATTGCTATTGAAAGTAGAATTGATCTTTCAAAATAATATTATAAATAACCTTAGTCATTAGCTATACCTTTTAGATTATTGAATATAAGGCTTATTTAAGGATAGTTAACTTCGTTATTTAGATAGTTGGAAAACTCTATTAGAATAAGTTCTCTAATTATATCAAATGTGAATCATTAAAATCAATCTATAATATTGATAATAGTTCTTATTTTATGCTTTTCGTATGTATTAATCTACTTGGATATTTTCTTTATAAATAATGTAGTATATAACGTGATTCATCACCGAGTGGATCATATCACCGAATGAATTACTTCAAAATCACACCAAAATTAACCTTTTTTTAATATTCATATTTTAATAATTAATCAATATTTTTTGAAAAAGAAACAATGTTTAAGAATAAGAAAAATTTATATAATTAAAAAGTGTAAATATTTTGATTATATTCTAAAAACAATTGAAATTGTTACGGTTTCTATTATAAAAACACTATTTTTATGATAACTATTGTATTAAATCTAATTTCTAATAATTGATTAGAAATTTATATTATTTATATAGATAATTATAATATTTAGAAGAAAAAAATAAATTATATTAATAAATAAATAAAGTGCACAGTTACGCACAGACGAATTTTGTATGTAAAATGAAGTAATCCACTCGGTGATATGATTCACTCGGTAATAAATCACGTTAATATATTAAATAAAGTAATACAAATTTTCAATAATATAATTCAAATAGTATAATCTAATATTTTTGATTTTATTATATAATTAGGAATAATCTTCTTTTTAAATAATAATTATAGAATAATTATATAATATTTATTTGTAGATACTCTGAGTACTCAAATTATTTGATAAACATATATTCTATAAAAGCTTATAGAGTAGAGTATACTATTCCATAAGGCTAGATACCCCGAGTAGGGTACGAGTGCCTAGCCCTGGAATTCAGGGGAAATGCTTTTCAGTCTACTCGGGAATAAGAAATATCTTGTCAGGCATCTTTGTATACAAAGGAAACTTCATTTGGCGCGGTTCCTCCATGCATCTAATCCAGCTCTTGTAAGAGCGATCTTTCGTCGAAAGGCTAAGTCATCGTTGTTTATCAATCATTCGAGCAGCTCAGTAACGAGAGCACTGCAGATAGATATTAGACCTATAATTGCGATTCCATTCCCAGTTTCTCCTTTATCACTCTTTATTAGTGTTTGTACTAGTATACAATAGTATAATAATAATATATATCAAGTTTTTAATTTAATATCTTATATATATAAAGAGGGATTGTATTATTTCAGTTGATATTTAATATATTAAATATTATTAGAAAAATGTAGGAATATGCGAATTCAATTCGGAATGCCTTTTCATATTTTGAAATAGATTTGAGAATAGATATTTCAAGAGATATTGATAAATTCCTAGTCTATTTCGGAATAAAAAGAGTATTCTAAATCGAATTCCTATATTCCTACATCTTTCTAGTGATATTCAATATTATTTCTATATTGAATATCTTTAATCATATATAAATCGATATCACCTATAAAAATATTGATATACACTACTATACAGATCAATATACGAAATACGAGCAAGACTAGTAAGAATACTACTCTTTATCCAAGCTCCATCATTACTATCTCCAGCATTGGTGGCATTCACTGCTGCATCGATTGAGAACTTTGCGATATCCTCATTGTTAGAATTATAACAAAAGATGCATAGAGTGACGCACTAGCTAAGTATCAAAGACATCGGTAGTGTGTGGTGAGGTGATCACAGGACTGTTCAATAGATTGAGTTCTTTCTCTCAAACTTTTAGTATCCTTTTATAAAATTCCCAGTGGGATTTTTGATCTGTTTCCGACCGACCAAGTCTGAAATGAGTATCTCATGCAGCAAGAGGTGTATATTGAGCTGAAATTTTATCTCTCACGGCTTGGCTGCGAAACACAACAATAAACAGCATAGACACAACATATCGTTTCCAATTAAGGATGTAATTGCATTTTGTGTAACGAAAAGTCTAGTACTCCATTTTGTGCCCACTTAAAGATATACCCCGACATAAGCAACCATCAATCTTTCTTCAAAATTTAAAGATGGTTTAGAGACCAGAACTAGCATATGGTTACAATTGGGCTCGGAATGGTTAAGGTATATGCAGTCGCACTTATGACTGACTCGCAAGAGCGTTCCTATACAGTAGATCAAATCAAGCGGAAATCACAAAAGCACATCTATACGAAGGTTGGAAGGGTCTCCTTCAGATCAGTTCCCCTTCAGCCCAGTCTTCGTTCTTATTGTGTCCCGCGTTATTGGGCGGAGTATGCCGACATTAATTGATTGTGGAAACGGTATTTTATCCGTTTCGAGCAGCTCTGTAAGGTGGCTGTATTGACCGCACTTCTATATCTTTTAGTATTATGTTGTGATTGAACATAGAATACGTGAACTTACTCTCGTGAACCCTTTCTCGAATGCCAATGAATATACATAGTAGGTTCCTCGAACTCAGTGAATTTCTCTCGCTATACTTCGATCACTAAATCGCCTAGCATTTTATCTGCTACCTATTATAATAATTGAAGAGAGACCGCATTTCTAATCATCGCATATTCGTTAGAGTTCGTCAGCGCGAATATGCAACAGGAAATGTTGCTGGTTTGAAGAGGAGTTTCGAAAAGAAAGATGCGATGTCTGTGTGCTGAGCTTACAACAGTAAAAATGTGTGCCTAAGTATTGATGGCTCGCAATGCCTCTCACATGGGGAGGTGGAGTGCATGCCCCGCTTTTCACCGGGAAAACCTTGGCACTTTTGTGATCAATTTTTGCTTGGTCGAAAATTCGCGAAAATTCACGAAATTCGCCCTTTGGAAGAGGCCCGTGTTGTGTGCACACGTCGCACTTATTGGTTCCCGCATTTTGTCTCGCGTGTTAGTATGCTTACTCTCTATCCCTACTTCATTTCTATCACCATCTTCATCACCATCTCTCGCTCCCTTGTTCCTTCCATCTCCATCACACAACACTACCTTCCTATCGCCATCCCTCGATCCCTCAGTCCTCCATCTCCATCACACAACACTACCTTTCTATCGCCATCCCTCGATCCCTTGTTCCTTCCTTCCATCTCCATCACACAACACTACCTTTCTATCGCCATCCCTCGATCCCTCGGTCCTCCATCTCCATTACACAACATCTATTACAAATGAAAATCTGTCTTATATTGTGTTGTATACAAGAGTTGTATTTTACTGTATCTGCTGCTTAGAACAACCCCGCCAGTGGTAGTCCTTTAGCAATTGCTGCTTAGAACAATCCCGCCAGTGGTAGTCCTTTAGTAGCAATTGCTGCTTAGAACCACCCCGCTAGTGATAGTCCTTCAGCAATTTCTTCTTAGAACAACCCCGCCAGTGGTAGTCTTTCAGCATCTACTGTTTAAAACAACTCCAACTCCAACACAATTTATATATCAGGTTTTGTGGACCACCTTTACACATCATTTCGTTCAAGAGTCAAGGCTGCTCTATAGCCTGGGTGGGTTGGGAATCACACATGAAGTGTGGGCTAATATTGTTTTCAATATAGTTATTATTTTACTACATTCGTCGCTAATTACAATTATAGGAACAAATTATGTCAAATCCAACTGAAATCCTGATTGAGAAACTTGAGCTCAAACTTCTCCTTCGCGAAAGAGTATTTATAAAATGGGAAGATGAATCGGGTACACCTTGGACGCTGGGCTCTCGTCCAAATCGCAATAAGCAGAATCTCAAATTTTTCATTGCTGTATATTATGATATGGAAGGATACATTCATATACACTTTTCCATTACGGTATCTGTCATAATTGCAGGCAGAAAGCGGAAAATGGAGATGTTATTCGTTGTTCCTCCAGATGCCGACTTCGCAAATACTTCTAAGCCTCGTTTAATATCGGATATCGATGATTTATCTCGCCTCGATGCTTCTGCTATTCACGAGGCCGAAATTAGCCATTCAGTACATGTTATCTGTATACAATTCAATTTAATTGCGAAAGGGTTCGTCGTCATAAAGAAGAAGAAGAGTAATACAACTCTTAAGCCCTGGGGCATCATCTCAAAGAATTTGATTTGTGGCCTTGAATCTCTATCTAACACGAAAACATTCACTGTATATATCAAGCCAAATGATTATGCATTGGTGGGCTTGGAAGACCTCCGCAATCGCGTGAGCAACACCAGTACTCCTATCGACACACACAAACCCAATATGAAGGAAATATACATTCAACAAGCACCCGAATTAATGGAATGGAGTAGACATGACTCAGTATCACTACCACCACCATATATCGAGAATCCTCAGCCATGTTCGGAAGTACAGGTTCCCCGATCGCCACCAATCACTTTCGAAAAGGAAAAGCCATTATTCAATGCTAACGAAGCAGCAATCGCAGAAACACCCCCTCAGCTAGTTCCGGAAGTACAAGTTTCTCAGCCATCAGCGATCATTTTCGAACAGGGAACGCGATCAAACGATACTATCCAAACAGCGATTGCAGAAACACTAGCTCGAACTTCAACCAGCCCTAACTCTTCATCGGTACATGGCGTTTTCTCTCCTAGCCGTGAAGAGTTGTCAGATGGTGAAGTGAGCTTGAACGATATCGGAGAGGATCCGAGGTGTACCCGAATTGACTTGGATATAGATTCGGATGAGGAACAGCTTGCTAATCTCAATTCTCGAGAACTCGATCATGATTCAAGCATATCACAAATGCTTAACTCGAAGTTGTTGAAATGGATACAAACAGTAATACGGATAAATCCAAACGTTCACGAACACAAACGCTTGACTACCAAGTTGTCAATTCTGGGCAATTGCATCCGTATATCAAATGTTAGCATATTTGATGCTACTTTACTCTGGTGCTCTGCACTCTTTTTCTACGACCCGCTCGATTCTGATCCTGACAACACTCTCGGATTATGGGAGGAGAGAAATTCATGGCTCATTTCAGATATAGCCAGATTAATTCAATGGGCTAATGGAATGCACCATAACGTCGAGACAAATTCGTCATTTTTGAAGCATTTTATAAAGCTGGGTGATACTGCTCGTAATGTTGCTCTGACTATTAGATGCAATAATGACAAGTACTATGATCAGAAAAGTGTATGCATTGTTTCTATATTAGCGGAATTTAGCGACTCAGGTGGTGATGGTAGTGGTATCGGCAAAGAGAGCAAATCCGCTTCTCGAAAAAGCTTGTGGACTGAAAGCAATGCGTCTAAACGAGTAAAAATGTAATCTATACAAAACACGCAAATATACTATGCTTCGATGATGTGAAACCCAAAGAAACGAGACGACTTAGAATCAGATATAATTGAGCACAACATTACAAGCTCAACTGACTAATTCCACACAACTTCCAATTCTCGGTCAACTCATTGGTTACCTGACCTGACGACAGACTTCAAAAGATCCGGAACCTCTGAAAGAGGAGAGAACGACTTATCCCATCAGATTCGATACCGAGCGAAAGAAACAGCTACGTATGGCTTCGTTTATTGGGGGACTATCTTATTTTTTGGCCGTCCCTGTTTTGGGCCACCCTTTTACATCGAAAATCGCTTCTTTCGACCTGTTGATATCTCTATCAAGATCCTATATTTTTTTTTTAGAAAAAATCAGCTTAATGCAACCCGACAACCTGCTCGTGTAATGTTCTATTTCCGTCCTCAAAAGCCTCGCCGAACATGATTCCATCGACATAACATCTCCCAATGAAATCGTATTCAACTGGGTTGTCAGGCCGTTTTTTAATGGTAAATGGCATTTTCCCTCCATAGAAGATCCAAACCTCGTCTCCAGGCTTCGTCTCTCGATTTCCAAGTCCTATTGCGTCTTTTTCTGTGATAAAAAATGCCGCATCTTTCACCATACGCCATATTGTCTGTCGGGCAGCATTGGGAGGTGACTCTCCACTTGTAGCAAATAAAAAAGCATCGTGAGCATCACTAGAGGAGGCTCGAGATAGTACCCAATCCTGGTCATTCCGGACGAAATCCCCAATAAGCATCCGACCAAAAGCCTGCTGCTGATTGATTCCAGCGCTGCAGTTTGCAAGAACAGCCCACGAAGATAACGTTTTAACGAGATTCTCATTAGATATCTCCCTACTTGGTGCATACTGTGGCCCTTCAACAAATTTAATGGTATCGACTAGAATCCCCTTCAACGATAGCACCATTTTTGTCTTTGTAGCCGTACTCAGCAAGAGCTCGCGGTCCATCGGGCGGTCACTCGCTGCATTATAATGAGGATATCCATGCAAGGGGTAATACCCCTCGCTATTACTTGGACAAGCTTTTAAGTCTAGGGCCCAGCGGGGTATTCCAGGTGTTGGATCTTCTGATATTCGGAGTTCCATGGCTAGTGGTCGCAAATCTGATTCGCATGATATCAAATCGATGGTATTAGACGCATAATGCGTTGCAACATCGACCTGTAACGAGTGAACTTAGCAATTGTCTCAATAGGACGGGCTCGTACAACCCTGGCGCTAGCTCAATATACTTGGTGTAATTTATATCCGACTGAGTGTAGAAATTAACCTTAGTAGACTGAATAATAACTTACTATATTTATGTTAGTTCTCATCCTCATTAATCGAGAACAATCTCCAAACTTTCTTCGATGTAAAAGCAAATATCGAGAAAGATTTACCTTTGTAATCGCACTCTGCCATATTTTGCAACTGTCCCTTTTCTACCAAACCCAGAAGCGCAAATACTTTATCTCGCGGATCTGTTGCCCCTCTCATACGCCACCTTATCATCAAATCGAGAGGATAACGGTCTCGCTGGTATTTGGTGCTGGTTATCCATACCACCTGGCACATCAAGTCATCCAAGAACTCGAGATTGGTTTTACTCAAGACAAGATGAATAGATGCAGGTTTAGTACCCTCTATCCAATTTTCTGATGCCCGGCTCAATACATTCCACTCCAAATGCAACGGGCCCCAGACTAAACACAGATTTGGCGGGAGAACAGCTTCCTGCACAGTCCAGATTCGAGTCCACCACAGATTTTCAGAATTTGAAATAGACTTTAACGCCCTCATAGCGCGTTTGAAATGATCTAAAGACGCAAAAAAAGTTGGAACGGGGACTGCCTTGGCGTCTTCAACTTCAGATAGAATGGCCATGTATTCACAAAATTCCACTCCCGCTTTTGCGTCAGTCAAATCAATATCATCTCGGATCTCTCCCATCCAGGCTAAACATCGAAATGACAGGCGATATATGTCAAGCATCATCTGGACTTGCCAAGATTTCTCGTCTGGGTCGTCCTGGTTGATACATATCTGGTCGATCCACAACGTCCTAACTGAATCTCGCAGTCTGAGGTTACGGAGAGCGTTATGCAAATTCTTGGTAACTTCAAACTCCGTTCCCGAAATCCTTATGGTGTTTTTTTCAGTAGCTCGGTCTCCCCAGACGTACGACAGTGCTTCGTACTTTGGACGAGTCGAAAGAGACACGACGTAAGTATCGCATTTAACGGCTGCATTATCAGCCCCACTAACATCGGGAAGTAGCTTCAGCAGTCGAACTTCATCCCGAGAAATCGTGGTGTAAATATGAGATGACAATGTGACCATTTCGAGATCCCAATGATAAATCTTGATGAGATATCTAACTTCTATGTCAACAAAGTTTGTTGGTCGGTACAAACTATCATGCCAACGATTTTTTGGCGATCAGCACTAGTATTGTCAATTTTGATAGTGGGATGATGACTCCACAAAGGAGGGAACACGTTCACCATCTCGAATGGCATCAAGGATTATTATAACAGCATATTTTCATTGTTCCGTCGATGGGCGTTTGATTCAGTGAAAAAGACGACCAGTGGGTGGACGTACTCCTGGGACACTCCAGAAATTGATTCAGTAAGATCTCTTGACATTTGGGTTCGATTTTTTTTATAGAATTATACAGTGATGAATTAAGGATTTAATAGTAAACAGATGAATTCAAATATTAAAGAATAAATCACTAAATTTATGAGCAATTTGAAAAGTCAAGAAGTGTTCCATCAGTTCGTCCACCCACCGGTGGACCTATATAATTATTCTCTCACACATAATTTAAATAGTTGATCAACACTTTAATTTCGAAGAGTCAGTAGAGCAACACTAATAAGGAGGTTCTTTTCCTAAAATCTGTCATTATTGATGCGATTGGGTTGATTTAAAATGCACTCTATTTATTTGATCCAACCCTTTGGTCCACCCCAAGTACCGTTCACCATGTATTTCCCGTACACCCATGGAAAGAAATTCTTTTTCAAATAATAGAATTCTGTTCGCGGAATAGCTTGATCGATACCAAACCATTTATTGAATGTCTCTTTTGGTACTCCGCCGTACTTGAATTCTGCAAGAAGTACCTTTCCATATTCAGTCAAGAGAGGACACGACGTATAACCATCGTAGATTTCCTCCGGTTCCCGACCATCAATTGCCAAGAGCAGATTTCGAACCAGAACTGGTGCCTCTGCAGTTATTGCTGCAACTGTTTTTGAAGTTGGCAGACTTGAAGCGTCTCCAGCAGACCAGACATTATGGTATTTGATATGACGGGTAGTCCCTTCGTCGACGTTGACATAACCAGCATCATTTGCGAGTACGCTATTCTTGACAAAATCATGTGGTTTATTCTTTGGTACCACATGCAAAAAATCAAACTCTCTCGTAACCTGACCTTTACCATCTGGACGAGTAAAAGTCGCCTTGTTCCCATCGATGGCGGTAAGGTCATGCTGAAACAACCCTTCAACCAGCCTTTCTTTTCTTAATTCCTCAAGCTTGGCACTATATTTGGGGACACCAAACATTGTTGGGAGACCAGTGGCAAAAGAAATATTTATCGCGGAATTGGAAGGATCCTTGATATCATATAGGCCAGCACGTTTCCAATGGTCCAATGCTAGCCACATAATCTTCTGCGGAGCGCCAGCACATTTGATCACACCTGCTGGTTGAGTGAAAATGGCTTTTCCCTTTTGAAGTTTTTGTATCGTACCAAAGACCTTATCGCAAGTGTCGTAATTGTATATAGAGGACACAAGAGAGTCCGGGTTTCCAAGTGCTTCGGATAATCCCTTCACACTTCCAACATCAACCGTAATACCTGGAGCAACAACGAGCTGGTCATAATTAACAATATCCCCGTTTTTCAAGGTAATGAAGTTTTCATCTGGGGAAAACTCCTCCACACCGGTATTGTAAAACTTAAGTTTCGAATCAATCAAATCATTCAAAGGTTTTCGGAGACTCTCCTTTGTTTTAAGGCCACCTCCAACAAGAGTCCATCCAGGTTGATAGTGATGCCAGGTGGCTGGGTCAACAATAGCAATGTCGTCTTGATGAAGGTTCGCTTGCCTAAGGAGCTGATGACTGATAGCAAGGCCAGCGGAGCCACCACCTACTACGACAATTTTGTGATTCCGGTTGTGGCCAACCACAGGTGATACAGTCGCAAAACCTCGAGAAGTCCGAGCAAATTGAGCCCTGGGGATAGAACGTAAAGATATCAACATTATTATAAAGTAGGTTATCACGTTACCGCAAAAGCTTTAACTACGAGTATCAAAAGAACGTGTAAAAGTGATTGAACGGACAAGGAATACTCATGTCGCTCAAGCCTATTAAAAGGATTTTTGACATTTATGGTAAGAAGCTCGATTACTAAACAGTTTTAGTCAGCAAAACGATCACGCCATCGTGACTGCTTCTATCGTCGACCTATGAGAAGCTCAAATGAAAATTAAAATAGGAATTGTAGCATCACACAGGGACTTAACATTTCGATACGCTACCCAAGCTGAAGCTAGATTCTAAAGAGAACTGGCTCCGTCTACTGCTACTATAACTTAATTTGTTAGTTTATCACTTCTCAAGGCTGTTCAACATGTCTAAAATGATTGAAAAATAGGCACCTCATATATTGAACAAATTTTATACTGTAGATTAAGAGCATGCGGCTCATATTTTTCACGGGAGATCAAGGTCTGAAAAACGTGGCTTTGATTGGTAATTCTAGAAGCTAAAGAGGAGAATGCAGTTCCTGTACATCACGTCACGATTTATGCTTGCCTTGGCCTACCTGTTAAGTTTGGGATGTGTACCCCGTGATCCGGAGAATGCTTTACGTTGATAGAGCAGAGGGGCTGCTAAATCAAAGTTAACAATATTGTTCTAGTAAAACAGAACATTCAGAGATTATATTCATTTAGTACTACTTTGGAAGAAACAACTTTGTTTGTGATACCCAGTTGGTACCCCAGTAGTAAAGGGTTCACCTCTTTAAGAGATGCAGCTGAAAGAGAGGTCGAAGTGTTTGAACGTATTGGCTCTATCTCAATAATCGCTAGTGTGTCTAGTGAGTCAACGGTCTTGTATCTAACTGCAGTGTTTCCTCAGTCAAAATCAGACGATACATAACCAGATAATCATAGCAATGAAGACTTTATTCAGAACTGTACTCAAATGGTGACGATAGATAGTATCATCGCAGCTCTTATCGCGTGTCATCCCAAATGACACGTCTTGCCGGGGGTATTCTTGGTTTGTTCAGAGTGATATAACAGTGTGGCTTTCATAGTCCTTATTCTACCTTTCCCGCCGAATCTGCGTTTGACGCTTGACATTACAGCGCGGAGTAGATCATTTCACAGAGATTCTACAGCCATTTCTTGAACGTCATCGTTTCCAGAATTTCCATTTGAAGCTTCGAAGGAAGGAAATCCGAGTTGACGTCCAGGAATAGAGATATACAAAAGATGGTAAGTTGTTCTGCCACTGAACGAAAGCATACTTGTCCATCGCTCATCATTGAAAAACGTTGGGAGCGATTGTGCACGTAATTGCAATCATTTCTCACAACGAAAGAATCGCAGTATCCGAGCCTCCGCTCCCAATGATATTCCTATCGCTATTACAGCTCCAGGCAATTATGCGGTTATTTTGACGTAATTGTAGATCCTTCCGAGAAAAATTATTGTATTTTGACCAGCTACTGTCCTTAAAATATTTTCGTGTCGTGATTTACTAGCAGACGAATTTGCGATTCAGGGCTTTCCTCTTCCAAACAAGCATGGAGCATCCTAATGCATAGGTAGTATGGCGAGCCGCTTAATTAATGGGAAAATTGTATCTCGTGTATCATGATGAATCGAGCAATCGCAGCGTTGAATGAAAGGGAAGGAAGATGAGGATGCCAATGCCAAATTATGAGTTCCTTGATCGTCCGTAAAGAGCATTCAGCTGGGACTTTGACTGAATGTATCATGAAATGAATAAGGCGTTGCAGATACGATCTGGCACATTGAGGAATCGAAGGATCATGCTGAGTACTTCATGGCATGTTCGTTAAGTGGTGGCTTGGTGTTTGGTTGGTATTGGTGTTTGGGTTTGATTTGAGATTCTAGCGTCAGTAAGCGGTAAGCGACGGCCCATGTTGCAAGCAAGGCAAAGCAATCATTGAACCTCGACAAATCTTGATAAATTCGTATCGGATCTTACATCTTTACGATCGATGATACCACAAATGCTTGACCCGATGAGAACATTTTCCTATTTTACCGTGCCAGATCTGCAAGCTAGGCTTCAGATTGTTGAGCTCTCTTTCACTTCGATATTTTACTAAACACATCCTCTAGTGCATTCGGGCATGTCAAGTTCGAACGTATCAAAGTATTCTCGATCAAGTATTATGACACATCAAATGGAAATAGATTCTAGAGAGGCCTCCAAGAATGAAGCCCGATAGCTCTGGCCATTCTTTGGTGAATGTACCTTCTCGTATGTGGTTGACTCAATGGAATTTTGGGATGATTAAGTATGGTTCACAGGGAATCTTCCTCCGGTCCCAATTTTGCACATAAAATTCAAAGACTGACAACTTGCTTTTCTAGTGCTGCCTAAAAGCTCCTCCAAGCCAAGTTTTAAAACCTCCACTTGCTGTTTTCGCTTTACGAAGTACCCGTGGTTGTGGTCAAGATCCTCATTCGAGTAAATATGCGGTCCAGTACACGAAATGTTAGAGACCTGTAAGTGATCATCTACATTTATTTTGTTGTGGGCACAAGTCTTATGGGTTACGCCAAGGCTCTCGGCCATTAAATTAGCAATATTTCCCCAGTACAATCTTCAACTCCCCACATTTATATTGGATTCGGGGCTCTTGCCGCGCGTATCATTATCATACAATACCACGAAAACGGCTTGTCAGACTGTTGATTGTCATTTTATTTTTAGATCTCTTTCACAGCTTTTGGTAAATGATTCAAGAAATTTGCAGCTGGACCCTGAAAACACAATCATTTTCATCCTTTATACCAAAAAAAAAAAAAACATCGACGACTCTTCATTCTTACTCTGCATAAGGAATTAAAATATCCTCCGGTTCATGTCTACTCAATTACAAAAGCAATTAAGGTAAATCTTTTATGGAATATGAATTACATACATCGTGGTAACAAATTGGGACGGCCTCGTGGATTGAGACGCAAGTGCCTAAACTAGAAGAGGAAATGAAGACGGTACCGATATGATTTGTGGACCATGCTACTTGCGAAACATCGAATCCTATTTCT